TATAACCTGTTTTTTTCTTTGTATTTTATGATTTCTGGTCTTCAAGACTTTAGTTCATTTTGAGCTAATGTTTATGTGGTGTAGGATAGTGGTCTAGTTTCATTTTCCCAGCACCATTTATTGAAGAGATTTTCCTTACTCCATTTTATACCCTAAGCTCTTTTGTTTTAAATTAGTTGTCCAGATATGTGTGAGTTTATTTCTGGGCTTTCAATTTTATTTCATTGATCTGTATGTCTATTTTTATTTCAATACTATACTGTTTGGATTACTATTGTTTTGTAATATAACTTGAAGCCAGGAAGCATGATGTATTTGTTCTATTTTCTCAGGATAGTTTTGGCTATTCAGTGTCTTTTGTATTTCCAGATCAATTTATATCTTTTTAATTCTATTTCTTAGTAAAATTGGGATTTTGATAGGGATTGCATTGAATCTATGTTGTTTTAAGCAAAATGGCTATTTTATTTATTTATTTATTTAAATCTGTTAGGACTTTGAAAGTTGATCTTTTACAACTTTCATTTTATTCAAAAATTCCTGAAAAGACTTCCATGTGAAATATAATGTATAATTTATAACATATAAATAAAGTATAATATTCAAGTATTCATAACAAAAGCTATTCCTATTGTATAGTTCTAACAAAAGTGGAAGCAACAGTACTATAAAAACACATGTACTACAAATACAACAATATATGGTATATATATTTTTTTATCCAGAAAGAGAATAATTTTTTTTAATTTTTATATATATATATTTTTTAATTTAAGTACTTTATTTTATATAATTCTTACCTCTTTTTTCATCTTTGCACAATGTATGCATTTTCATTTTGGTTATATTCCCTAAACAATTGCACCCCTCCCTTATTTTGACTCTAGTCCTTCCTCTCCCCGTCCCTCCCTCCCACCCCCTCACCCCCTGTAGTGTGTCTCTGGTTTATAGTTGCTTGGTGATTTTGCTTTTTACTTTGTATTGATTAGTCTTTTTCCTGGTCTCTTATTTGGGTTTTCTAAATTCCTGCTATAAGTGAGACCATCTGGTATTTTTCTTTTTCTTTCTGACTTATTTCGCTGAGCATGATCCCTTCTAGCTCCATCTATGTTGCTGCAAACTGCATGTGTTTATCTTTTTCGATTGCTGAGTAATATTCCATTGTGTATATGTACCACATCTTCTTGATCCAGTCATCTATTTTTGGGCATTTGGGTTGTTTCCATACCTTAGCTATTGTAAATAGTGCTTCAATAAACATAGGCATGTAGGTGCCCTTTGGAATTAATGTTTCTGTGTCATTTGGGTAAATATCTAGGAGTGGAATTGCTGGATCATATGGAAATTCTATGTTTAGTAGGTCAAGAAATCTCCACACAGCTCTCCATAGTGGTTGGACCAGTTTGCACTCCCACTAGCAGTGCAGGAGAGTTCCTTTTTCTCCACAACCTCGCCAACATTTGTTGTTGCTAGTTTTTTTAATATGTGCCATTCTCACTGGGGTAAGATGGTATCTCATGGTAGTTTTGATTTGCATTTCCCTGATTACAATTGATGCTGAACATTTTTCATATGCCTGATGGCCATAGAATGGCTTTTTTAGCAATGTTAAGGTCTTTAACTTCCTTGGTTAAATTTATTGCCAGGTTTTTTGTTTTTTGGGGTTTTTTTGGTGCATTGGTATGTGGGATTGCATGTTGTATTTATAGAAATGAAACCGATTTTTTCACTTAACATATTAATATATTAATATTAATAATGTAGCTTCCAACATTACTATATTTTTAATGGTTTTTATCATGGAGTCTTTTATCATTTAGGCTTTTCAATGTATAAATGTATAAAATTTTATGATTATTTTATAAAATAATGACAGTTTTACTTATTCCTTTCCTCTTTGGATATCTTTTATTCTTCTGCTTGTCTCATTGTTTTAGCTAAGACTTTTAATACTATGTTGAATACAGTGGTGAGAAAGTGGACACCCTTGTCTTGCTGCAGATCTTAGTGGGAAAGTTTTCACTTTTTCATCACCGAGTATACTGTTGACTGTGGGTTTGTCAAATATGGCCTTTATTATGTTGAAGTACTTTTTCTCTATGCCTATTTTATTTATTTTTTATCATAAATGGGTGTTGGATCTTGTCAAATAATTTTTCCTCATATACTGGTATGATAATATGGTTACATTTTGTTGATAAGACATGCTAAAACATTCTCAAATTAGATTATGGTGATGGTTGTACAACTATGAATCACTGATATATATACTACATATCACAAAATTCATTCATTTAAAAGGTACAGATCAATGATTAGTGCTGATAAACTACAATTAACTAATTAACCTATTGAACTTATTCAGATTTTACTAAGTGTCTCACTAATGTCTTCAGAAGATAAAAAGCAGCCCTTGCCATCCTGAGCTGTTCTGGTGCTATTAGTTAGACTTTGGTGCTACTGAAAGCTTGCCTAATACACCAGGTTTTGTGTTGCTGTTTTTGTTGACACAATTGACACATAACATTATATTAGTTTCAGGTGTACAACATGTAATTCAATACTTGTCTGTATTATGAAATAGTCAATAGGATGTCTAGTTAACAACCATTACTACATATATTACGAATTTATTCTTATGATCAAAACTTTTAATAACTACTCTTTCAAATATGCAGTTTAGTATTGTTAACTACAGGTGTCATTTCCACGAGTTATTTATATTATAACTGAAAGTACATACCTCTTGATCATATTCACCCATTTTGCTCTCTCCCTCTACAGCCATCTCCACCTCTAGCAACAATCAATGTGTTCTCTGTATCTGTTGTAAAGGCAAGGTTTTGGGTGTTGTTTTGGTTTGTGTCTCTGGCTGGAGGGTACTGACCGTCCATTTTCTGTCACAGGATTCAATTCAGGGTCCCAAATTTCATTTGGTTGCCGTGTCTTCTTTAGTCTCCTCCCATCTGGAATATTTCTCAGTTTTTTGTTGTCTTCCACAATCTTTACACTTTTAAAGAGTTCTGATCATTGATATTGTAGAATATTCCTCCGTTTGTGTTTTTCTGACACTTTCTTTCGATCAGATTCTGATTACGCATTTTTGGCAGGAATAACACAGAAGTGATGCTGTGTCCTCTAGTGTCTGGTAATAAAGAAGCACATGATGTTAATATGTCTCATTACTGGTAACATTAACCTTGATCACTTGGCTAAGATAAGTGTCGCCATACTTCTCCAAATAAATTTGCTATTTTTCCTTTGTAATTAGTAAGTAATCTGTGAGGAGATACTTTGAAAACATGTAACTATCTTAGTTCTCTTCATATTTTCCAACCCTGCTCATTTTAGCATCCACCCATGAGATTTTGCCTACAACTATTGGTTTACCAAATGATGATCTTGCATCTCGATTATACTATGAAAATTCTACCATAGAAAGCACTATGCTTTCTCCCTCATTTTTTAATTTATTATTTTATTTATATCAGTATGGGACTGTGGATAGTTACTTTAATCTTTGAGTTATAAACCATAATTAACATTATTTTTTTGTTGCTCAAATTGTCCCAGATTTGATCATTGGGAGAGCCAACAAGTTGGCTTTGAAGTTCTATCGCTAATCAATTGTTAAGTCCTTTTATTTCTTGGTTTCACATGAGGCTGCAGGCTTATCTTGTGCTTTTCTAGCCCTAACCCTGAAATAAGTCTTTTCTCCAATGAACTCTAGCCCTTTTTTTTTCAATTGGAATATGAGATTTAGGCATGAAGTATGTTTGTTGATATTGAGTTCTTATTACTTCTAGTTTCTCTTAATGGTCAGAGTTAGGAAATATATACACATATATCCATATCTCTCTCTATGTGAGTGTAATATAAAGTTGGTTTTTGGTGCCTCATTGGCACTGAGTGCTTATTTTGAATTTTTATCTCATTATTGCCCAGTTCTCTGTAGCCATCCCCAACATGTGTGTTCATAAGCCTTAAAATGACTTCCCTTTCTTCCCTTTTCCTCCTTTCAATATTGCCTCAGTTATATTAAAATTTCCTTTTTTTCTAAAGATTTATTTATTTATGCATAAAAGAGCTAGGGTGTAAGTCAGAGGTGCAGGGGGTTGTGTGTGAGGATTCACCAGGGACTGAGTGGGGAGCAGAACAGGCAGATCTACTGAATCTACTGAGAGGAGCAGCAGATGAGACAGGAGAGGTCTGCTGGGCCGCGTGGGTTAGCTCTCTGGCCGGAAATGGAACTCATGCTACAGTGGCTGCAGATTGCTTCATAGTTCTGAAACTTAACCTCTTGTAACACCAGGGAGGTCCTATTCAAACTTTCTTTTTTTTTTTTTTAAAGATTTATTTTATTTATACAAGAACCGGGGTACAGGCCAGATGTGCGGGAGGGTGAGAGGATTCACCAGACACAGAGCAGGGAACAGAACAGGCAGACTGACGAAATACACTGCTGAGGGGAGCAGCAGGCAAGACAGGAGAGGTCTGCTGCGCCATGTGGGATTCTCGCAGGCGGGCCAGGATCAAACCTGCGCTGCAGAGGCTGAGGACAGCTTCACAGCACTGCGCTCAACTGCCTGCGCCACCAGGGAGGCCCCTATTCAAACTTTCTAATGAGAATACTTCCTGTGTGTCACAAGCTACCCCACGCATAACCTTCAGTAAAAGCATTTGCCATGGATCCTTGCTCTGCTCCCTGCAGTTACCAAACTCTGAGCTGCTGGATGATTTTTTTTAAAAGATTTATTTATTTATGCATATGAGAACTGGGGTATAGGTCAGAAGTGTGGGAGAGGGTGAGAGGACTCACCAGAGACAGACCAGGGAACACAACAGGCAGATTGACTGAAATGCACTGCTGAGGGGAGCAGCAGGCGAGGCAGGAGAGGTCTGCTGTGCCATGTGGGCAGCTCCCTGGCTATGGATAGAACTCGTGCTGCTGTGGCTGCGTATAGCTTCATAAGTTGTGTCTTAACCCCTTGCACCACCAGGGAGGCCCCTTGCTGGATGATTTTTGAGTGACTCTCCAGGCAAACTGGCCCCCTCTCCAGAACCTGTGAGTACAACAGCTCCTTTAATTTCAAATGCCTCCTTAGTGGAATTTTCATGACTGTGTTGGAGTGATCCTTAAAGACCCCACAGAGGGGACTCCATCTGCCACTCTATGTGTTTGTGGGGGGTTTGTGTGTGTATGCACACGCATGCAAACACTGTGAGTTCACATCTCTGATTCCAGTCTAAAAACACAGGATTCATATTGGCCATCCTCCTTTCTTTCTTTATGATTTCCATTTGTGACAATAAAAATCCTCTATCTCATGATCCACAATTTATTTGTGTGTGTCTGTGTGTATTTCAGTAATGTTTACCCATACCCTATGAAAACAAGTTTATTAACTAGAATCCAATATGTGTCAGTTCTTTTTGTCTTTAACTTTATATTTCATAGTCAAAAATACTGTTTTCCAAAAATTACTTAATTTACGTTTTTTTCTTCCACATTCCCTTCAGTGTGATTAATATTGTAATACAGTTAGGTCCATTTGCTATTGTTTACATTTCATTTGGGCTTTCTTCGCATTCTGGTTAATTTTAATTAAACATGTCTATGTTGACTCAATGTGTGAAATATTAGCAGGGCTGGAAAAGAGCCATAGAAAATAGCACACTTGGTCCTTCCCTGGTGGCTCAGGCGGTTGAGCGCCGCGCTGTGAAGCTGTCCGCAGCCTCTGCAGCACCGATTCCATCCCAGCCAGCCTGCAAGGGTCCCACATGGCACGGCAGACCTCTCCTGGTTGTGCCCACTGTTCCCCCCCTCAGCAGTGTATTTCATCAGTCTGCCTGTTCTGTTCCCCTCTCTGTCTCTGGTTAGTCCTCTCACCCTCCCACGAATCTGGCCTGTATCCCGGTTCTTGTATAAATAAATAAATCTTTAACAAAAAAAAAAAAAAGGAAAAGAAAATAGCACGCTTGGAGAAGTGTCACCCCAGCCCTACTACTCAATTTGCATTCTTCAGTTCTTTCCACATCATTTACTCTGAACATAACAAATTTCATTTGTTTTTGGTTTATTCTATCTATAATTTTTATAGCACAATTAAACAGATACCCTTTTATTTTTTGCATTCTTTTTGTACATTGCTTTTATCACTTAACAGTATATCCTGAAGTTCATCCCATAATAGTTTATGAAGACTGTCCTTATTCTTTTTTTTGATAGTGCATAACACTCTGTTGTGTGGATGTACCATCATTTATTGAACCATTCTCCCATGTTAGGCATTGCAATTGTTCACTATTTTGCAAAAAGCAATGTTGCTCTGAATGGCCTTGTACATATATATTTTTGCATTTTTAGAGATACATTTTCAGAATAATTTTCTAGAAATGGGATTACTGGGTCAAATGATAAGTGCATGTTCTAGAAAAATCTGTTTTCTATAATTTGCTCTTTCCAACCACTATCACAGGTTGGTCATTCATTTCCTTGACTAGGTAGCTATCTATAAATAATACTAAGGACCCTATTTTGCTCCCTATTTTGTACCCTAAGAGAACCATCTGTTCATTTTATCAGTTCAATGAATTCCTTTCCCTAGGGGTCTTTGTATTCTGAGGAGGTGGAGATAAAATTACATTCTTCAAAGATCAGCAAGCAACTTGACATAAATTGTCTCACTGACCAGTGAAGCAGAGTGCCACAAAACAGAGGCTCCCAAGAGCAACTTGGAGTTACTTAGCCTTTCTGTTTTTCCCTTTCAGACCACAACACTTTGTGACCCTGCATCGAAAATGCAAGCTCAGGCACCAGTGGTCATTGTAACACAGCCTGCATGTAATGTGCCCCAAGCCTCCAACTGGCAGACAGGCCTTTGTGATTGTTTCAGCGACTGCGGAGTCTGTAAGTGCTGGGAAAAGTGTCCCATAATTGATGTGGAAGTGACTGTCAAAGACCAAATCCCTCCTTTATCCTTTACTGTGTAATTAAAGTTCCTCACCTTTTTGAACTCTGCACTTCCATCAATGGTATAGATAAGAGGCCTGCAGCAATGATGAACAAGTTAATTCTTCTCCAGTCCTTCCAAGAATAGCCTCACTCCTGAAATAAGTTCTGGAGTTCAAATAATAGTAAAAGTTAATAATTCTACCATGAACAGACCTGGTCTAATAATTATAGTTAGGCCATCTATGAAGTTAACAGGGAAATTTCAAGTTTAACTGATTTAAGAAAAGAAAAAGGAGACTATTCTTGTTAGACCTACAGATTAAACTCACTACTTTATGACTACATTGTACCCAAAACACAAGGATTTTTTTCATCCATATGTTTAGCTCAGAGAAGAATTTGTTTATTTTATGCTTTTAAGTATTGTACATACCTAAGAATAAAGAATTTTAAGGTTATTAACCTCTCTTTGGGAAAAATGTTTTTGACTCTGTTTTGGTTTTTTTGTTTGTTTTTGGTTTTAAGTCTCTTTAAGTAAATTTAAGAGAAAAGAGTTTGGAGGTGAGAAGGGGGTGTCAGAGATAATCAAGGAAGTTAATTCTCAATATCAACAAGAAACAAGCAAACCTGCCTACAGAAGAAAATTGCTCTGAGGCTTATTTGCCTGTCTTGATTCTACGTAGTAGTCAACACCAGGAGAGAAAAATGCACTAAATTTCAACTTACCAATGAAATTGAAATTTGAAATGAATTGATTGATAATTGCATTGAAAAGCATAGAGGGGAAAAATTACCTAGGAAATAGAACAATTGATTTTACTTATTCATTCTCATTGCCTTAGTGGACAGACGGGCAAGATGATTTACCATCTCAGGATATTAATTCAACACCTGCAATTCAGAGTGATAATTAGACTACATAGTTAAATCCTCTAAAGATAAACATGTTAATCCTCCTGCCCTTAGTATTATTCTTTAGGTAAGTGAATTACAATTACTTCTAGTAAAGAGTTCATTACTTCATGAAAGTCTCCCAACTACAGATTCGACCACATCATTCTTCCTTTTGTTAGGGGGAAAAGGATGTCCTAAAGCTAATTCCATACAGGCTTTGTGGACTCCACCCCCACCCTAGGTCAAAGTCAAAGACACTGGGAACTCCAAATCCCATCACCACCAAAGGGAAGGTGGCTGGGACCTGAGGGTGGGGTTAAGTAGCCAGGTTGATATAAGGCAGACACGTGGGCTTTGGAGGGGTTCTCCCATTTTGGCACTCTGCCATCTCGCAGCGTCCGGCCAGCTCTGAGAGTGACTTTGGGTTTCCAGGTCATCAGATCGGGTAGGACGCATTGAAGACTTTATTTCCCTATTTTCTCCCTGAGTTGTACATTTTCCTTATTTCCTTTTCCCTTGTAAATAAACCTTTTATTAACCTTTTGTGTGTGTCTGTAGTAGAGTATTCATAAGTCCCTTTAAAGCGCGCGGGTGAGGACCCACAGCCAGGAACCTGTTTAATATTGGGGCTGCTCTATAACACTTTTTAAAATATTTCAGTGGTTCCTTGGGACTTTCATGACTAACTCTGACCATTCATCAACTGGTCCCCAACCTGCCTCATGCTCCAGTTTATCCCCACCCATCTCTGGGTTCCAGCCATATTGAGTGAACACAAGCTGTTACTGTTATAGGACAGGGAGAGGGGCAGCCCAAACCCCGCAAACCTGCCTATTCTAAATGGGTTCTGCCATCCGCCGTATCAACACAAAACATAGGAGACTTTAATGGGAAGGAACTTTAATAAAACTAGGAAACAATACAGGTAAGGCAAAGAGTCTAGTTTCTAAATGAAGCACCCAAAGTTACCCGTCCCCTCGTGGGTAAAACTCCATCCATATGGGATCGGCCCAGAACAAGGCCCCAAAGCCTGCTACAAGTCTAAAGCATCTTCCAGTGGGGACCCACAGAAAAGGGTCACAAACAACCGGACAAGCCCGGAAGGAAAAGAGCAAAATCAACATCAAGATAAAAGCTGCCACTGTCACCTCCCCACGGGTCTCACCCACATCTGTGTCACCCAGTCCACGACCAAAAGACAAGCACAGTTTCTTCACGTGTCTCTAGGCTCCATTGCGCCTCCTCCAGGTCTCCTTCTGGCTCCATCCTGCTCCTTCCTCCTTCTCTTCTGCAGCTTCTCCTCTTCCTGCTCAGCTCCACCCTCCCTTGGGTGGGGCAGGGAACCTCCCCCTTTCCTGGGACCACCCTGTTACATTACCAAGACAAACAAGTTATCCCAAAGAGACTCTTTCCCCTTGTGTCTAGCTATAAAATTTCTTGTCAACCTTGCCTATTCAGATCAAACAGCATTTTCCTCTCACAGCCTTGGAGGACCATTTCTCGGTGATCCCTTGGCATCCTGAGTAGGTTTCTGTTGGAAAAATGCTCATATTATCTGTGTCTCCCCTACTAGAGTTCAGACAAGGGTATGTAGGTACTAAGGATAAGCTCTGGAATGTGGCTAGGTTTCAGTGACTCATTCAATAAATGGATAAAGGAAGTACTATAAAAGAAATGCATGCCTCCAAGCTGCAATCATTCCTGAAAAAAAATACTGAGGATTTGGGAGAGAAGGAAGAAGCTGATGAATGATGAACGTTGCAGTGGACTTGGCATGATTTATGTGGCAAAGACCCCATGATTTGGACTGTTACTTGTGTAAGGAAATTTCAACTGTGGTGGGGATGTTACAGAGCAGCCCCGATATAAAACGGGTTGCCTGGCTGTGGGTCCTCATCCGTGCGCTAAAAAGGGACTCCACTACAGGCACACACGGACAGATTAGAATAACTTGTACTCTGGTTTCCTTTGTCCAGGTATCTGTGGCTCATTTTGCTTCCCGTGCCTTTGTTGTCAAGTTGCAGCTGACATGAATGAATGCTGCCTGTGTGGGGCAAGTGTTGCAATGAGGACCCTGTTTCGGAGCCGATATGGCATTCCTGTAAGTCTCCTATAATACTGCATTATTCAAATACGCATCCACATTCAAAATAATTGTTATGAACATGGAGGTCATTTGATGGTATCCATCACCCGGAATGGATGCTTCCCAAAAAACATTCATATTTGCAATCACACAAAAATCCCTAGTTCATCGCACATGTTACCACACTAAATTCTTATGCCACCTTCTAAATCAGATAAGTCTACCACATTTTACAGATGAGAAAGGACTCTTAAGTTTTAAGAGGTATAGTAACCCACCCACATAAGCACTGGTAGTAGAAAGAGTCACTACTCAACTCTACCTTTTCATAAATACACATTGTATTACTTCATAAGCTTCACTTTATGCAACAGGAGAATGAACAGTCTTCACATTTAAGATAATCAATATCTTCACCCCCACTCATGCACATTTGTAATCCTTCCTCTTTCCCAAGTAACCATCAATCAATGTTTTCTGTCACTACAGATCAATTTGCATTTTCTTCAGTTTTATATAATAGAATTATACAATATACACCTTTTTGTCTAGCTTCTTTTATTCTTTTTTTTAAATTTATTTATTTTTATACAAGAGCTGGGGTACAGGCCAGAGGCACGGGAGGGTGAGAGGATTCACCAGAGAGAGAGCAGGGAGCAGAACAGGCAGATGACTGAACTACACTGCTAAAGGGAGCAGCGGGCGAGGCAGGAGAGGTCTGCTGCACCATGTGGGTAGCTCCCTGGCCAACTGGGAATCAAACACGCGCTGCAGGGGCTGTGGACAGCTTCACAGTGCTGCACTCAACCCGCTGCGCCACCGGGGAGGCCCTCTGGCTTCTTTTATTCTATATAATTATTTTGACATTCATTTAAGATGTTGTATGCATTTAAAATATGTTAATGGATTGTGTTCTTTTTTAAAAAAAAAAAGATTTATTTATTTATGCAAACAAGAGCTGGGGTACAGGCCAGAGATGTGAGGGCCGCGGTGGGTGGGGTGAGAGGATTCATCAGAGACAGGGTGGGGAACAGAACGGGCAGGCTGACTGAAATACACTGCTGAGGGGAGCAGCGGGTGAGACAGGAGAGGTCTGCTTCGCCATGTGGGTTTCTCTCTGGCCGACCAGGGATCGTACTCATGCTGCAGAGGCTGTGGATTGTTTCATAGTACAGTGTTTAACTCCTTGCGCCACCAGGTAGGCCCAGGTTAAGTGCTCTTAACACAATAAAATAGAAATAAAAAAAATATTTGGATGGTAAATAAGCACATAAAATCTGTTCAGCATCATTTGTCTTTAGAGAAATGCAAATTAAGACCATACAGACAGGGCTTCCCCGGTGGCGCAGCGGTTGAGCGCAGGGTTGCGAAGCTGCCCGCGGCCTCTGCCGCGCCGGTTCGATCCCCGGCTGCTCCCCGGCCACCAAAGGAGGGTCCCACATGGCGCGCAGACCTCTCCTGCCGCCCGCTGCTCCCCTCAGCAGTGTGCTTCGGTCCTTCTGCCTGCTCTGCTCCCCGCTCTGGCTCTGGTGAATTCTCTCACCCTCCCGCGCTTCTGACTGTACCCAGTGTATGTATAAACAAACAAACAAACTAAATAAATAAATAAATAGAAGACCATACAGACACACCACTACCCACCTATTGGAATAGCTAACATTAACCGGAATAAACCACAAGTGATGACGTATAGGAACTGAAACTTTCATGCTCAGTTAGTGAGAGTAAAAGCGCAGTTTCTTAAAAAACTAAGCTTACACCTAACATTTGGCTCAACAATTTTCCTCCTAGAAATTGACCAAAGAAAATATATATCCATACCAAAACTTGTACAAAAATTTGGAGAGCAGTTTCGTTCATAATAGCCAAAAACTAGGGCCTCCCCTGGTGACGCAGGTGGTTGAGTGCAGTGCTGTGAGGCTGTCCGCAGCCTGTGCAGCGCCCGTTTGATCCTGGCTGGCCAGCAAGGGTCCCACATGGCGCAGCAGACCTCTTCTGTCTGCCTGCTGCTCCCCTCAGCTGTGTATTTAGTCAGTCTGCCTGTTCTGGTCCCTGCTCTGTCTCTGGTGAATCCTCTCACCCTCCTGCGCATCTGGCCTGTACCCCAGTTCTTGTATAAATAGCCAAAAACTAAAAACAATCTGATGCCTCTGAGCAGATGAATGGATAAACAAATTGTGATGTATCCATTTAATGAAATGCTACCCAGCAATAATAATAATGATGAACTATTGATGTGTGACAGTTTGAATGAATCACAGATATAATTTTAAATTATGGGAAAATTTTAAGAAAAAGCTGTGGAACATCTAAAACTACAAAGGTTCCAGGAAAGAAAGATCTATTTAGCAAAAAGGAAAAAAAATATTCAATGAATATCAGTCATAAAACACCATGACTCTCCCATAGGTCAGAATGATTTTGATTTCTCTAAAGTGCACAGCATTTTGCTTTTTCATTTCGTATGTTGGTGGTGAGTTTAGGGGACTTTGACATCTTATGAGATAAGATATCTTATCTCACCCCTCTCTTATCTCACCCCTCTTCTCTCACCCTTACTTATCTCACCCCTCTCCTGGGACCCCAAACCCACCTTAGGAATCCTCCATAAAATTCATTTGCATGCTATATTCCGGGCAAAGTCACAACCCAGCTGCTCAAACAGGCTCCAGTTAACCTCCTTGTCTTCTGTTCCCCAGCTTGATCATCTACTTTTATGAGTTTCCAGGTTTTGAACCCAGGGCTTATCTAATGTATTGCCAATGCCATGTTAGTTTCAGGTTCTTTGACTGTGCTTTGCTTTCTCCATCACTGTAATCCCATCTAGTTCATATTTCCGAAAAATGGCCCAAAATTTCTGACCTACTAAATGTTTCAATATTTCAACATTGTATAACCAAATAGCTTTTAAAATTATCAAATTTGTGGGCCTCCCTGGTGGTGCAAAGGGTTAAGTTTCAGCACCATCAAGCTATCGAAAACCACTGCAGCAAGAGATCAATCTCTGGCCAGGGAGGTGACACACATGGTGCAGCAGACCTCTCCTGTCTCACCCGCTGCTCCCCTCAGCAGTGTATCTCAGTGGATCTGCCTGTTCCACTCTCCATTCTGTCTCTGGTGAATCCTCTCACCTTCTGCACCTCTGGCTTACACCCCAGTTTTTATATTCATAAATAAAAATAAAATCTTTAAAAACAAATAAATAAATTAAATTATCAAATTTGCAAGGCTTAAGAAAAACATCAGTCTCTAAACTTGTTTGTCTTCCCTACTTCCCTTTTCTCAGACCTGATTCTTTGGGTATTGTTTCCATATCTCATTGGGGCATTGCCTATTTTTTTTTCTAAAGATTTATTTTATTTATTTATGCATACAAGAGCTGGGGTGCAGGCCAGAGATGTGGGGGGGTGAAAGGGTTTATCAGAGACAGAGTAGGAAGCAGAACAGACAGATCTACTGAAATACACTGCTGAGGGGAGCAGCAGGTGCAACAGGAGAGGTCTGCTACACCATGGCCCTGGGGCATTGTCTATTGATCTCCCACTATAGAAGATAAGAATTTGACTCTGTTTCCTCTCCCTTCCCTATCACATGCAAGCACCTTTCTATATCCCATGCTTTCCAATAAGTTGTAATTTTGGCTAAATCCATATTCTCTATTTACATTTTTATTTCTCTGCTCATCAGAGTTGAGTCATGATTGCTTTTCCTGCTAAACTTTATATGCCCTTGTATTAATCACTCCTGGCTTTTTAAGTAGTAGTTTTCCATTCACTTATAAGTAATTTACTACCAAATTCTTTCACAGCTTTCTAAAATCTTACCAACACTTTCAATACTGCATTTTCGTCTTCTTGATTAAGTCACTCTTTAAACTGGTACCATTTGAATTACTTGCTCTTTACTCTTTCTCCCTTCATCCTGGTATCTCCTTTACCTTGTGACTGAAGAGTCCTTCTTTCCTACCTTAGACTCCTGTTTCTTTTCTTTTTTTTTTAAGATTTATTTATTTATACGTATAAGAGCTGGGGTACAGACCAGAAGTGTGGGGGGTGAGAGGATTCACCAGAGACAGAGTGGGGAACAGAACAGGTGGATTGACCGAAATACACTGCTGAGGGGAGCAGCAGGTGATTCAGGAGAGGTCTGCTGCCCCATGTGGGTAGCTCCCTGGCCAGGGATTGAACTCACGCTGCAGTGGCTGCAGACAGCTTCATAGTTTGCGTCTTAACCCCTTGCGTCACCCGGGAGGCCCTAGACTCCTGTATCCTATGTCCCATATGTTTCTCTGCAATGGTTTAGTCCCTCATATTATAGAACCATCTTCTAGTAGCTTTCACAGACAAGGAGGGGATATAGGAGAAACGAATTTTAAGATTTTATTTCCTAAATTTCTTTTATTTTTACTTCCCAAATTTCTCATTTTCACCCTTATATTGATAGTTTGATTATATGTCTTCTATTTTCCATATTACAAAACATAGGAAAATATTTGATGTCATAAAAAGAGACAAGTATGATATGGAAAAATCAATTACTTTTTTTTTTTTTGGTGTAGCCATACAAACTGAATTCAAAGTGTTTTCTATTTCTCTTCAAAATATTTTGAAAGTGCACGAGTCTTGATTTCCAAATAGATGGATTTTACATTTCTATTTCTTTTGTGTTTTCAAACAGGGATCCATTTGTGGTGACTCTCTGATAGTCTACTGCTGTCCCACTTGTTCTCTTTGCCAAATCAAGAGAGACATCAATAGAAGGAGAGCCATGAATGCTTTCTAAAAAAAAGAAAAACCTAATGGTAAGTACCAAATTTGGGCTTTTTTTTTTTTTCCAGAAATATAATTAGAGATCCTGGAAAGCATGCCTTATTTTGAATAATAATACAGTTATAACAATTCCTCAAGTCTCCCAAATGTCATCTTAATACAAAGGTTGATTTTAATTTCTCCTTATGAGGAAGCAAGCTATATGCATTTGCATGAGTTGCCATAAGAAAATACCATAGATTGGGCAGCTTAAACATAGTTCTGGAAAATGCAAAGTCCAAGAACAAGGTACAGGCCATTGCAGTTCCTTCATGAGGTTCTCTACCTAGTACTGTTAGGGGGAAAAGGATGTCCTAAAGTTAATTCCATACAGGCTTTGTGGACTCCACCCCCACCCCAGGCCAAAGCCAAAGACACTGGGAACTCCAAATCCCATCACCACCAAAGGGAAGGTGGATGGGACCTGAGGGTGGGGTTAAGTAGCCAGGTTGATATAAGGCAGACACGTGGGCTTTGGAGGGGTTCTCCCATTTTGGCACTCTGCCATCTCGCAGCGTCCGGCCAGCTCTGAGAGTGACTTTGGGTTTCCAGGTCGTAGGATCAGGTAGGACGCATTAAAGACTTTATTTCCCTATTTTCTCCCTGAGTTGTACATTTTCCTTGTTTCCTTTTCCCTTGTAAATAAACCTTTTATTAACCTTTTGTGTGTGCCTGTAGTGGAGTATTCATAAGTCCCTTTTAAGCACGCAGGTGAGGACCCATAGACAGGCAACCCGTTCAATATCGGGGCTGCTCTATAACAGTACCACCTTCTCACTTTACCTTCAATGGGAAAGAGAGAGCTCTGGTCTCTCTTCTTATGAGGACAGTAACCTCCTCCTGGAGTTCTCAATTTCATGACCCCTTATAAATCTAATTCCCTCCCAAAGGTAACCATCACATGAGCGTAGGCTTTTAATATATGAGTTGGGGAGTAGGGAGGACACGACATTAAGTCCGTAATAATAGCTCTATACTCTAACAAATAAAGGGATGGTGCCTTTTTTTTCTGAACTTCTTAGAATTCAGTTGGTCTATTAATGAAGTAACTGTAAAATACCAGGGATACAAAGAAGTAGAAAACAAGTTCCCTTCCTAACACCAACAAATTGACAAAAATAAACAGGTAAATAATTACAAAATAACAGAGCAAGTGAAAATTACATGTTATGTAATAGTTGGATTGGTTATGGCCTAGAGCATCTATCAAAAACGAAGTGAGAGTAAACAGAAAAGCTGTATTAGAGAAAGTCACTTTTGAAAGAGGTATATAGACTATTTAGAAATATGATCTTGAGTTTCACCATCTGAATGAAATTCAATCTAGTTTTTCCAACTAATTTTTTCAAAATTCTCATAATTAGCTGTTGATTTTGTGAGTTGACTATAAAATATATCTTGAGTAGGAAAAAACATTAATTTTTCCATTTTTTGCAATATCTCACTTGTCATGTCAATAGGATTCTGTATAAAGTAACAAAAATAACTCTTGGAAGATACGTAAAAAATATTCACTTGCTTCTTAACAAATAATGTGTCAAATACCTAGTGCTATGCTGGACACTGCTAGGTTCTGTGGCAGACAAAAATAAATAAGCAGGTCCTCTGGTCCTTAAAGGCTTTATATTCAAAAATAGGGGATTAGATAAGCCCCAAAGTAAAATGCAGAGTTTGACTATTGATGCCTTTAGACAAAAGTGTGGTTTTATGTTGCAGAGGAAGAAAAGATCATATACTGTGAGAGGAATAAGTGAAATTTTCTTGATAGAAATGGTTTTTGATCCTAACGAGGAAGAATCAGAATATAGACGGTACTCAATAGGCAAGGAATTAATGAAGAAACATATAAAGGTGCGGGGAGGGGGGGGGTGCCAGGAAATGACTGAGATGATGGAGTAATTGGGCTAACAACCGCTTAACTGTTACCACCTCTTGGCCTCAGGGAGGGCAGGAGGGCGCAATTATAGGAATTTCAAAGGAGAGCCTTGTGAAAATGGAAGTCCTGAGAAAAATAACTTCACTTTAGAAGGACTCTTTAGAAGGCAACCCCACAGAAAGTTACGAAGAGAAAAAGTACTCTTACATTTTGATGTCTTCTGGGCTTCCAGAAGTTTGAACCTGCCAGAAAGGCAGAGGGCAAGAAAGAGCTGCTGGAGTCCACAGGTCTGCTGCCCAGGGCACAAAGGATAGAAATGGATCAGATTGGGCACATAAGATTCTGACAGGAGAGGTGCCTTGAAAATTCACATTAGCAGAATTGGGTGTTGTTTCTAATCAGCAAGAACATTAGTAAAATTACAGAAGCAAAAAAAAAGTGGGGGGGAAGGAATATCTTCATGAACTTATATCCAACTTGGAGCAAACATATAGTTTAAGTAGGAAAATAATGAGAAATAAGTGATTTTCTAGAATGAATTGGAGCATTCGCATGCAATATTATGAATACCAGGCTAATGGTAGGAAAAAACATTAATAGGCAGTTTGAATTATTGTAAGCTTTATGCAAGGAAACAACATAAATAGATGTATACTTTAGGAAAATTAATCTGATAATGATAAGCACAGAGGATGAGATCCAAAGCAAAGATGTGGAACTAAAACACTTTAACTTTGTCTATTTAAATAAACACCAAGACAATTCAGATAAAATTCAGATAAAATATCGCCCCACATATACATAATGATGAATCCTGACATCTGATTATGTTTCAACCACAGGGAAATCTCATTAAATCTGTGAACAGGTTTGAACTAAAATATCTTGTGATCTTAACTCCAGCTCATCAACTTGGACACTAAAGTATTTACTGACAATAAAATTTAATATGCAAATACTTGAAATGGGAGAAACGAAAGACAAAGCTCAAAGAATAACTTGATTTATGTTAACAATAGATTGAGACAAAGAGACATAGGAACCAACAGAAAAGCTCTCAAGAACCAACAATCAACAATTCAGTAACAAACAAAGTAGTATTGGGTTATAATCCCAACAAAATATCTATGAATCCATACTGCTATAAATAACTATGTATTCATATGCCTGAATATGTACATACATTTGAATAGACAAATCTCCCAAGATTACAAAAAAATTCCAATTTATCTAGATACTCTCCTTAAAGGAGATAGGGTATAATTCCCCAATCTTTCTTTATAGCTTTGCTCAGTGACTTCCTTTCAAATAGTATAGTATGAAAAGGGAGAAAAAAGGGTAACTTTACAGTGAAGAAACCTGACAAAACTATTTCATCCAGTGATCAAAGTTAACTTCTTCAGTAATACCTCATGCATTTACCCTAAAATGATGTGATGACAATGGTACTTGACCCTTGGGACCTTCCTTTCAAAACCCCATAATTCCAGTGTAATCATGAGGAAAACATCAGACAAACACAAATCAAAGTACATCCTATATAATACCTGACCCGTGTTCCTGAAAACTCTCAAGGTCATCAAATACAAGGAAAGTCTGAGAACTCTCGCAGTATAGAGGAGATAGACAAACCTGATAACTAAATATAGTGTGTTATCCTGGATGGGTTCCTAGAACAGAAAAAGGACATCAGGTGAAAACTGAGGCATGGGCCTCCCTGGTGCTGCAAGGCCTTAAGCACAGCACTGTGAAGCTACCCGCAGCCTCTGCAGCACGAGTTCCATAGATCCCCAGTCAGCCAGGGAGCTACCCACATGGCACATCAGACCTCTCCTGTCTCGTCTGCTGCTCCCCTCAGCAGTGTATTTCAATGCATCTGCCTGTTCTGTTCCCTTCTCTGTCTCTGGTGAGTCCTCTCACCCACCACACCTCTGGCCTGTACCCCAGTTCTTGTATGCATAAATAAATAAATCTTTAAAAAAAAACAAAACTGAGGCATAAAGTGTAGGCTTTGACTAATAATAATGCATCAGGGCATGCCTGATGGCTCAAGGAGTTAAATCTCAGCACTATGAAGCTATCAGCAGCCACTGCAGCAGGAGTTCCATCCCTCGCCAGGTTGCTAATCCACATGGCGCAGCAGACCTCTCCTGTCTCGCCCGCTGCTCGCCTCAGCAGTGTATTTCAGTCAATCCACCTATTCTTCTCCCCACTCTGTCTCTGGTGAATCCACTCAGCCCCCCACACACACCTCTGACCTGTACCCCAGTTCTTTATGCATAAATAAATAAATCTTCAAAAAAAATAATAATGTATCAACACTGGTCCATTTCTTTTGACAAACATAGTGAGGTATTAACCAGTAGGGAAACTGGTGCAGGATATATGGGAACTCTCTGCATTGTCTTTGCAACTTTCTTATGAATCTAAATTGATTGTAAAATTAAAAGTATAAAAATAGAACAGTAGTTTGAGAAAATGTTCTTTTTGTGTCTCTTATAGGTGAAAACTCTTAATGAAGGAATTAAATCAGCGAATACTTTCAGCCTGACTACTTTTCTATCTTTTGGACCTGAAGAATGCGTTCAAACACAGTTAAATGGGTTAAAAATTTAGAATTTTACTTTGTTTTACAAGCATGGTGCCCTTGCTAAATGATGCAGCTTAATTTCTTCTTGCTTTCTTGTTATTAAATTTTCTGGCTTACAATTTTTGTATTACAGCTAAATACAAGCCAAATAAAAGATTTTTACTAATTCAATTCTTTATGTGTTTGCTCTAAATAAAATGTCTTTATTCATTAATTTCAAGGTTTGATCTTTTTTTTTTTTTTTTTAAAGAGGCATGTGTTTTGTTTTTTTTTTATATTATTTATTTATTCGTTTGTTTTGTTTATACATGCACTGGGTACAGTCAGAAGCACGGGAGGGTGAGAGAATTCACCAGAGCCAGAACGGGGAGCAGAGCAGGCAGAAGGACCGAAGTACACTGCTGAGGGGAGCAGCGGGCGGCAGGAGAGGTCTGCGCGCCATGTGGGACCCTCCTCCGGTGGCCGGGGAGCAGCCAGGGATGGAACCAGCGCTGCAGAGGCCGCGGGCAGCTTCGCAACCCAGCGCTCAACCGCTGCGCCACCGGGGAGGCCCTCAAGGTTTGATCTTTTAATCTTGTTCTCATACACTGAAGAATTCAGCTCACAGTAACTCAACTCTCTTTCATCTAAGAACTTAAAAAGGGAGCGAGAGAGATACATACAAAAAAAAAATACAGATAACTATTGTAAAACACTTGTACTTTACCTGAACTTTTGCCTCTTTTTGTGTTATCTACAAGTATTATTAATGTTGACAGAGCAATAACACACAATGCCGTTTCTCAGCTGCACACTGGTGGGTTCTCATTGCGTCGATTTCCTTTCTCTTTTGAGTATGAGATATCAAAGCAAGTAATAAAAATTCAATTATCAAATTCAGTATGACTCAATTTTAGTTAAATCTGATTGGATAAATGTAGTAGCAACTTCTTTTTTTTTCAAATTTTTATCCTATTTGATCCATGTGCAACATTTTACCCTAATGAGACTCTCATTTCCTCGTTTCCTTTTGTTCTGCTCCTACATTTCTGAGTCCATTTCATCTGTCAGGCAAAACTACTATACAGGTTCATTGTGAAGTTTCAGGGAAATAAAACATGAAAGCACCTGGAACCTAATAGGCACTCAACTTGAGACCCTTCCTTTATTTATCTTACAGATGCAGGTGTTTTGTGAGATTCTGTCCTGGGTCCACTCCTCTTATACCTCCCGTTCTTCTCAGTGTCATCTACTCCTATGACTGCAACTGCCTCCCATATGCCACGGAGGACTGTAATTCCTTAGTATTTCTCCTTACTGTTGATGCGTCTCCTTATTGATGTTCAGCTCAGTTGATGTTCAGAGATCTTCTCTTCAGCTGACTTCTAAACATTCATCCATCTGAATGTTCTCAAGGCATTCTCTACACAACAGATCAAATAATATCACCATTTTTTAAAATGAGAAATTTAGGAATCAATGATTCATGCTTGCCTAATCACACCTTTACCCTTCTTACATCTAATCAGACACCAACTTCAGTCACTTAAACCCCATTTGATAAGTACCCTCAATGCATGATCTACTTCATTTGCTTTTTTTTTTGTTTTTTGTTTTTTTTTTAAAGATTTATTTATTTATTTATACAAGCACTGGGTACAGTCAGAGGCGTGGGAGGGTGAGAGAATTCACCAGAGCCAGAGCGGGGAGCACAGCAGGCAGAAGGACCGAAGTACACGCTGAGGGGAGCAGCGGGCGGCAGGAGAGGTCTGCGCGCCATGTGGGACCCTCCTCCAGTGGCCGGGGAGCAGCCGTTGATCGAACCAGCGCTGCAGAGGCTGTGGGCAGCTTCGCAACCCAGCGCTCAACCGCTGCACCACCGGCGAGGCCCTCTACTTCATTTGTTGCTGTATCCCCAGTGCCTAAAACAATGCCCAATGCCTACTAGATAATAACTCAAATTATTTATGGAATGAATTAGTTTGCCATCTCTTTTTCTCCACTAACCTGGATAAAATGCAGATCTTCATGATCTCTTTGCAGATTCTTATTCATAGTGATTGAATTAGTCTTCACCTCTAAGCAACCCCAGTTCTCATTGCCTTCTTTCCAATTCACTCCATACACTGTACCACAAGTTAAATTGTGAATATTCAAAACAACAGACCCAAATTTTCCCTAGTTCTTCATAATGTAGCCTCAGTTTACCTCATTAACCCATTCTCTTGCCACTTTTTCCTTTTCAAAATTCCCTATTTTCCTACCTTCAACATATATACTCTTAAAATTTCAAAGGCCAACTGTTCTTTAATATACACAGGAAAGCAACTGACTTTTGTACCATATCATATACCCGGCAACTTTTCTATAATTGTTTATTAGGTACAGAATTTTTTTTTGGCTGATTCTTGGGATTTTCTATGTAAATGATGTCAACTGTGAACCAAGACAGTTTTATTGTTCCTTCTCAATCTGTATAAGTTAAATTTTCTTTGCTGGTCATACTGCATTATCTGGGACTTCCAGAATGACATTGAATCTGCATGTATTGATATTACCATATTATTTTTATCATTTCTTTTGTTTATATAATATATTACATTGAATTATTTACAAATATTAAACCATCCTTTCATCCCTAGGGTAAATCCCACTTGGGTATGATGTGTAATCCTTGTAGTATATTTTTGAACTTGATTGTCAGTATTTTGTTGAAGAATTTTGCATCAGTATTGATTGGGGATATTGGTCTATAGTTTCCTTTTCTCATCTTTGTCTAGTTTTGGCATTAGGGTACTGTTGGCATACAATGTATTAGGGGGCATCCCCTCTTCTTGGATTTTTAGAAATAATTTTAACAAGATGGGCATAAGTTCATCTTTAATCTTCTTTCTTTTTTTAGTTTTAACTACCTGAATAGTTTACCAATTTTATAGATGTTTTGACAGAATCAACTTTTGGTTTCACTGGTTTTCTTCATTTCCTGTTTTTAGTGTCACTGATGTATGCTCTAATCTACCCTACTTCTCCTTCTTACTTTTCTTCTGCTTACTCAGGATTAAATTTTCTTTTTTCTAGTTTCCTAAGATGGGATTCTAGATTACTGATTTTAGATATTTCTTTGATGTACACACTGCTTTCACAAATTTTAATAAACTGTGCTTTCATGTCACTGAACAGTTCAAAACACTTTTTCACTTTCACTTGAGTTTTCTTCTTTGACCCATATGGTATTTAAAAGCCTATTGTTTAATCTCCAAGTAGTTGGGAATTTTCCAGCTATCTTTCTGTTAGTGTTTTCTAGTTTAACCTTATCATGATCTAAGAGTATGCATGGATGATTTCTATTCTTTTTAATTTGCTTAGGTGTGTTTTATGGCTCAAGATGTGGTCTTTTGGTGAATGTTCCATGTGAGCATGAGACATATGAGTGATGCAGTTACAAATGACTGGTCTCTTAGATAAGAATTAACAAGTTTGTCTTCCCCTTTCACTTGCAATTTCCGCCTTATTTGACAAGTTTGCCTTCTATATGACCAATCTCTCAGATAAGAATTCACAAGTTTGCCTTTCCCGTATTTCTTGAAATTACCGCTGGTTTGAAGACCCCTTGTTTGTCTTCTTGCAGTCTAAGGAAAAGGAAGGACATTTCCCTAAGAGGATAATAAGGAAGTTAAACATCAGGTGTTAACGAAGCAAGCTGGCGCTTACCAGAAATCTCCATATGCCTGTATCCACAGGACATGCCTACCCTTTTCATCTCCCTTTTGTTTTACTCCTTTGTATAAATAACCCTGCCCTCTGCCAAAGAGGACGGTTGTCTTTCAAACATGAGTCTGCTGCCTTCCTCATTTGTTGACAAATTAAACCACTTTCCTTTTCCTCAAACTCTGTTTCCTTTTATTGGCTGAGGGAATCTGAGGCCAGCGTTCAGTATCATGTGTATGCTGTGGCTTTTGGAGGAATTAATCTGCAGATGTCAGTTAGAGCTACTTGGTCGATGGTACGGTGCTGTGAAGTGTAATTGAACTCCAGTTGCACCCTTACCAATTTTTTACCTGCCAAATCAGTCCATTGCTGATGGGGGGGTGTTGAAGTCACCAAGTAGGACCATAGATTCATCTATTTCTCTTTGCAGTTCTATAGGTTTTTGCCTCACTATTGTAATGGTCTGTTGTTGATGCTCTGCCTTCTGGGGTTTTTGTTTTTAAGCTACAATGAATTTTAATACAGAAAATGTAGACAATATTTTGCAAACTTATCGCTCAAGAGTATCTCTATCTGAGGAAATCAGCAGTTGCACTTTGAGAGATGGAATGTTACATTTCGTACACCAAAAGTAAAAAATGAAATGAAATTTTAAAATGAAATGGTTACTGCTTTTCCTCAGCTGTCGCTAAGGTGCTCGGTCCTTCCGAGGAAGCTAAGGCCGCGTTGGGGTGAGCCCCTCACTTCATCCTGCGACTAGCACCGCGCCCGGCAGCGTCTGTCCAGCCCTCGCCCGCACAATGGCTTTGGCCTCGGAGCTCGCCTGCATCTACTGGGCTCTCATCTTGCACGACGAACCAGGTGACGGTCACGGAGGATAAGATCAATGCGCTCATTAAAGCAGCAGGTGTAAATGTTGAACCTTTCTGGCCTGGCTTGTTTGCAAAGGCCCTGGCCAATGTCAACATTGGAAGTCTCATCTGCAATGTAGGGCCTGGTGGGCCTGCCCCAGCTGCAGGGGCTGCCCCTGCAGGTAGTCCTGCTCCTTCCACTGCTGCTGCTCCAGCTGAGGAGAAGAAAGTAGAGGCAAAGAAAGAAGAATCTGAGGAGTCTGATGATGATATGGGCTTTGGTCTTTTTGACTAAAGGTCTTTTGTAACACATTCAGTAAAAATTTGAACTGTTAAAATGAAATGGTTACCAAGGTAATGCATGTCTGGGGATCAAGAGTAAAGGGTCACATATTATTAAAAAGAAATTCAAAAGGATGACATATCATGATCTCACAGTCTACCAGTGTTGACTCTTTGGGTAAACTAGAACATTTCCTCAGACATTCAAGCAGCTGTTTCATTATAAGATTTTTACATGACTACTATTGCTGTTCCCATGATCTGCTGTAGGTGGCAGTGTTGAGAACACAGTAGATGCTAGTTCCATAGCACACAATTTGGGAGATGCTCTTCTCACTTATTTTCAGCACCACTTTTCCATCCACACCACCAGCTCCT